CGAGTACAATTTCTCTCTGAAGGGTGTAACTGTATTTGTAAGAATGCCTTTTCAATGTCAGCTGTGATTACCCCTTTCATCATTCTAAAGCGTAATAATACTCCTACAAGATCTGGGAGGTTAATTGATCCACGATATAATACTTCATTTAAACTTTTCATTCCCTTTATGTGCGCTGAAGCATCATAAACAATCCTTAACTTAGTGGTAGTTTTACCTGGATTACGAACGTCATGATGTGGCAGGTAATGAATAATTCCATCTTGATTCATTTGTGATTGTACTTCTTCGATTATGCCAGATTGTAGTTGATCTTGTATTGCTTTATTATATTCTTGTAATTCCTCTTTATGGGACTGAAGTCGTGCTATTAGCATTCGCAAACGGCTGACGCATAATCCATAATTATCGCTCAATTTGCCTTTGCATGGTTTCCATGGCCAACGTACTTCGTATCTTCCATTTTGTTTAGTGATACTCTTTTTAAATTGTTCCAGTGCTTGTTCATCATCTTGTGTATCTGATCGATCTTGGATGCCAATACAGTCCAACTTCCAAAATTGATCTATATCTGGGACACGGTTTTCTTGAGATGTCTTCGTTGAAAAGATCTGGTGATGGCACAATTCATTTGTATAACCGCTTCCTGCTATGATAGGTCCAACCTTGCTGTTCAGTAAAGTGAATCCTGACTTTAGTTGCTGAGCGTTTTCCATATGAATAAAGTTGAAGAAATAGTCAGCTCCTATAACTATGTCAGGTTGTTTCTTGTAACTTTTAAGATGGTAATTCTCACCTTTGTCTACCACTTCCATCACTTGAAGATCGTTTGTTAAATAATCCATTACAGTGGCTTGGATAGTCACTTGATCGGAGTTTTCCGTTTTCACTCCAATTTGTGTTTGAGTTGTGCGGCATACTCGAGGAGTCCTATTGCCAAAGGAGGAGATCTTATACTCTTCTTCATCAGTTTCTAGGAGATTTAGTCGATGAGCTAGCCTTTGTGAGATAAAGGTCGCATCTGCGCCGACGTCAAACAGTACTAAAGCTTGTACTTGATGTTCAGGTTTATCAGGATTAAAGACATTAATTTCTCTACATAAAAGCAGTACTCGTTTCTTTTCAACTTTCTTAGTTGGATTAACAGATATGTTTGCATTTTTGGCAACAATCTTCCCAGTATCACGAGTCTTAGTGGTACAAAGGGCGCTATTGTGGGATTTTTTGCAATAAAAACAACTTACTGTTTTTATGCAGTTGAGTTCGTTGTGTCCAGATTTAAAACAATTAGAGCAAACATTGATTTCCTTCAATCGATCAATTCGCTGCTCCACTGTAGAATATATGTGACACTTACTATCCCAATGATTGTTATTGCAGAAGATACAGGGTCTCCTTTTCTGATTTGTCGACCAATTTGGATTCTCTTGATTTAGCTGGTTCTTTTCGGCTGAAGCCGTTCCTCTTATTTGCTTTGATTGTTTTATTGCAATCAATGCTGAATTTTCTGGAATGCTTGCGTTAGGATGACGTTTAATTAAATTTTTACGACTGATGTTATCCAAGTATTGCCATTCCATTACCTGGTCGTTTCTATTAATTGTCTTCCTGAGAAGCTGTCGAAGTTTTGTTACGGACCACTGGCCATCCTCTTCCTTTTGTTGATAAACCTGGTTTAATATCCAGTTTGGTAATTTGGATTCTATTATCGTTTCGATGGTAGGTTGCTCTACGTTTTCGCCAATTGCTTCTAACTGCCTTAGAACTCTCTCCATTTCTTCGATTATTGTTTTCCAGTCTCTGTCGTTTCGTTTTGTAGATAAGAGTTCATTGTAAAGTAATTTTCTTATAGTGGAAACACGACCAAATTTCTCCACTAATAATTCTCTTATAATTCTATAGTTTTCAGGTGCCCTATCGTAACCTCTTACTAGCCGTAGGGCGTTTCCTCTTAAGCAAGAAACCAAGTAATTTAATTTTTGGATATCTGGTATGTTTTGAGAGTGTACGGAGGCTTCGAAACTACTCCAGAATTCTCTCCATATTTTAGGGTCTCCACTAAACGTTGGTAACGACAATTGTGGTAAATTTACTACTGGACGACATTCAGTTAAGCTAGGTTCTTTAATTTGTGCTAGACGTTTAAGGGCTAACTCTGTATCATCCTTGTACATGGATAAGGTTATAATGGTATCCGTACCTGTGTTAATTAATTTTAAAATACCTCTATCGTCGTTTGCCATTCGTTCATATTTTTCTTCTTCTTTTTTCTTTTGCGACATTGGGGCTAGTTGAATGTGTTCCAACCATTTGTCGTTGATCTTCTCAAGAGTGCCAACGTATTTTTCGAGGCGCATCAACTTTTCTTTGATGATCCTTGCCCTTGCTTCGTATTGCTGGCACAATACTTCTACTGTCGCTTTTTGGTCTAACGGAGTTAGATCCAATTGTCGTATTTCATCGAGGAGTCCTTCGAGATTCGCTTTTACTGGTGTAGCTTGAACAATTATACTGGCCGACATACCTCACCTCACCTCGATGCACCAAAAATTTATTTTGTCGTGAAACCTCAAACTTGGGTAATTAAACCTTTATTTAACATGAAGCAAATAATAGCGCTTTATACATATCGTACGGATGCTACACCGATTAACAAACGCGTAAACTATAAAAAATGCAATGATATAAAAATAGTGAAATAACACAAAATTATAAAGTATTAGACGCATCCCAATACCACCCAAAACATAAAGCAAATGATGGTTATGGAAGGATTGGTTGGTTTATATATAAGACTGATTTAACAAATGAAGATTAGATGGGAGGATTTCTCATGGATGAACAAAGAAGATTGTTAACAAGATTAGTTTATATACAGAACTGAACTGACCAGATATTCCGCAGAGGAGGACATTTAAATGATATGAAACAAAGACTGCTAATAAAGGGCTTTGCTAACAAAGGGTTTGCTAACAAAGGGTTTTTGTTGTGTGAGGAAAAGGAATCAGATAAGAGTAATTTGTTAGTTTTGGATATAATTTAAATCTTTCGTCTTTCACGACAGAGTATAACAGAATTATAATCTGAGTATAGCAAAATTACAATCCGAGTATAACAGAATTATAATCTGAGTACAACGGAATTATAATCTGATTATAACAGAATTATAATCTGAGTGTAATTGAATTATAATCTGAGTATAACAGAATTACAATATGAGTATAATTGAATTACAATCTGAGCGTACAGAATTATAGTCTCAGTATAAGAGAATTATAATCTGAGTACAACGGAATTATAATCTGATTATAACAGAATTATAATCTGAGTGTAATTGAATTATAATCTGAGTATAACAGAATTACAATATGAGTATAATTGAATTACAATCTGAGCGTACAGAATTATAGTCTCAGTATAAGAGAATTATAATCTGAGTATAGCACAATTACAATCCGAGTATAACAGAATTATAATCTGAGTATGAGCATAATTGAATTGTAATCTAAGTATAACAGAATTATAATTTGAGTATAACAGAATCATGATCTGAGTATAACAGAATTGTAATCTGATTATAACAGAATTATAATCTGAATATAATTGAATTATAATCAGAGTATAATAGAATTATAATCTGAGTATAACAGAATTATAATCTGATTATAACAGAATCATAATCTGAGCATAATTGAATTATAATCTGAGTATAATTGAATTATAATCTGAGTATAATTGCATTATAATCTGAGTATAACAGAATCATGATCTGAGTATAATTGAAACGATGAATTTGCAGAAGATATTGCTTTGAACTTGACAAAGATAATTCAAACTTTTAAAATAGATGCGATTGAATTTATTGACGATCGTCGCTTTAGCAGTTGGATAAAACTAATTCGAGTAACTGTTTGGACTCTTCGATTTATTAAACAAAATATAATTCAGTTATACTCATGCTCAGATTATAATTCTGTTATACTTAGATTATAATTCTGTTATACTCAGATTATAATTCTGTCATACTTAGATTATGAATTATAATCTGAGTATAACTAATTTAATCTGAGCATAACTGAATTATAATCTGAGTATAACTAATTTATAATCTGAGCATAACTGAATTATAATCTGAGTATAACTAATTTACAATCTGAGCATAACTGGATTATAGTCTGAGTATAACTGAATTATAATTTAGGTATAACTGAATTATGATCTAAGTATAACTTATTTATAATCAGTTATACTCAAAAAAATTTACAATCCGAGTATAACTGAATTATAATCTGAGCATAACTGAATTATGATCTAAGTGTAACTGATTTATTGTAATTCAGTGATATCAGATTTAATTCAGTTATACTCAGATTATAAATTAGTTATACTCAGATTATAATTCAGTTATGGTCAGATTATAATTCAGTTATACTCAGATAATAATTCAGTTATACTCAGGTAAGACTATAACTCAGTTATACTCAGATTATAATTCAGTTATACTCGGACAACAATTCAGTTATACTCAGATTATAAATTAGTTACACTCAGATAATAAATCAGTTATACTCACATAGTAATTCAGTTATACTCAGATAATAATTCAGTTATACTCAGATTATAAATCAGTTGTGCTTAGATAATAAATTAGTTATACTCAGATAATAATTCAGTTATACTCAGATTATAATTCAGTTATGCTCAGATTATAAATTAGTTATACTCAGATTATAATTCAGTTATGCTCAGATTAAATTAGTTATACTCAGATTATAATTCATAATCTAAGTATGACAGAATTATAATCTGAGTATAACAGAATTATAATCTAAGTATAACAGAATTATAATCTGAGTATGAGTATAACTGAATTATATTTTGTTTAATAAATCGAAGAGTCCAAACAGTTACTCGAATTAGTTTTATCCAACTGCTAAAGCGACGTTCGTCAATAAATTCAATCGCATCTATTTTAAAAGTTTGAATTATCTTTGTCAAGTTCAAAGCAATATCTTCTGCAAATTCATCGTTTCCTGAATAACGAAGTACTTTGGCCATTCAGATTTCTTGAGCTCCAACCATCGAAGTCTTTTCCACCATTGTTTGCAATTTTGAAGTTTAATTTGTGATAGTCCTTTGGTGGCTATATCGATTGGATTTTGATCACTTGGTATGTATTTTAATTCGAAGTTAGATTTCCTTATTTCTTCGATGCGATTTTGTATAAATCTGGGAAGTAGCTTTGTATAATTCTGGATCCAGTAAAGAACACATTTTGAATCTGTCCACAGAGTAACTTGATTATTTTCAAAATTTAATTGTTTCAATATGAATTGAGCCTGCTTTTACTCCAATTAGTACAGATAATAATTCAAGTCTAGGAATTGACATACCTTTAATTGGAGCAATTCGAGATTTAGCATAAATCAAGCATGAATTCGAATATGTGTTTTGATACCCATGATTGAGAATATAAATAGCTGCAGAATAGGCAACCTTTGAATCGTCAGTGAATATATGAAATTTTGTTAGTTGTGAAGCTTCCTACGAATCTTGGCAACTCTATTGTATTTGTTGGCCATTCTTCGATAAGATTTATCCACTGTTGTTCGTCCTGTTTGTTTAAAGATTGGTCACAAGGAATATTTTCCTTCCATAAATTTGCATGAACAATTTAAGTTTGATTATTGTAGAAACGATGGATTATATTGAGATGATTTGTAGGATAGTCCTCTCTATTAAATTTTTTCCTATCCATAGTTTCAGTGTCACACGGAATACATCAGATCGAATTTGGCATCCAAACGTGCCCACGTTTCAGCAATAGCTGTTGTATTGGCTAGCATGCAGAGAGCATGTGGTACAGGTGCAGTTTGTGGCTCATGGTTAACTCCAATCTAAAAAGTTTAATTTTGCTTAAAATTTTTCTGAGGAACAAAAAAAATCTTTATAACATGAAAAGATGTCTCACTTCAATTTTTCATAATAGCTTTGATGATTTCATGAATTATTTTTAAAATAGCAATTTGAACCTTGAATCCAGTTGGACACCACTCTACAAAATTAATCTGTCTGCGATGACAGAGAGCACTAAGAGCTTCATTGACATCGTTTGGTGTTACATTACTATGGTATAAAAGGCAAATTGATATATCACACTGACAAATAATTTAAATTAAGCACAGCAAATTAAAATAAATCGGATGATTATTTATGCTGAAATGCTTGAAATGGTTCGAAATGAAATAATCCGAAAAACAAGAAAATTATTTTTATGTAAAAATTAAGAAAAACAATAGTACAAAATTGAAATAAAAGGATTAAAATCTAGAGCAGCTCACTTTCACCATTTGATTGGAAGTTTCAAAAAATCTCTGGTAATATCCGTCACCGAAAGAGTCTTATAACAATCTTTCTTGACAGAAACTATCGGAGTGTATCGGAGTGTATGTCACCAATGGGAAATGGTGTTGCTACAATGGCGAAGCTTGACCTAATGAATAAAGGCTGTTGTTTTAAATGATTTTAATCCACTTTGTAATCTTAACATCCATAATCCCTCCCGATTTTCTTCCTTACAAAGCCATTCATTATATATAGTTCACGAAATAATCAATTCAATACCACATCAAATGAAGGATGAATTCTTTTGACAAAAAATTTCTGAAAAAAGAGAAAAAATTATTGAATAAATAGAATGGGAATTTAATGAAATTGTTCTACTGATAGAACAAGAATTTGAATACATGATAACACATTGGAAATTGATTTCTAATTGTATAAATATCGTGACAATATTTACTATTTTAGTTATTCTTAAATGGAAATTTAAATTACTTCAATCCTTATTCTGTATTACTCCAAAATGAAGTTCAAATCAAGCTATTAACATTACTCTCCACTACATACTCAATTCCTAACTAAAGAATGGCTATATACCTCAAAATTACATCTTAAAACAATTTCTCTTCCCCTTTGGGTGTGTCGCGAATATCATAAATCATCTCTCCTTTTTAAATTGTAAACAATCTTACGGTTGTATAAATCATTTCTTCATAAATTTGGCTTCTTAAGATTTATTACTCATGTGATTTTATATAAAATTGACTTTATGTAAAAAATTTATGTAAAATTAGCTCTCATTTTAATCATTTCTTTGTAAACACTTTCAATTCTTCACACATGTGATTTTTATCTTAGACACGCCCAATCCTCACTCATATAAATTCAATTCTAGTAAACAAAAGATCATTATTGTTGACTATAATCCCTCATAACCAAACTCAATTTCCTCCGACTATTAAATCTATTTTTACTGCTCAGACTACTGATAAGAAAGTTTTATAAAAATAAAGATTTATTAATCTCACTGCTGTATCACAAATATTCGAGTATCTAAAAACAAACCTTTCACGACAGTGTCGGATAGATCAAAAATTTTAGCTTGCTTTTTTATTGTTAAGTGTTCGGTAGCACCATCAAATGATTGGAACAGGAGGAATCCTGAAAAAAGAAAACAAGATATTTCAACCGTTCTTTCAATTATTATTCATTTTTATTCTATCAACTATCACATATATATATTCATTCTAAAGCATTATATTACATATACATATACCTTTTATTTCCGTCTGATTTAGTAAACAAAAATGAAAAATTTTTTAAACCAAAAAAAAGTTATATATATTCGATAATATATTTGATAAAATAAAAAGTAATAACCCTACAATCAACCACAATTTTCAGCCAAACGTCGAATACGATCTATAACTTTATCAATCATATCTCTGCCAATTGAATAATGCCCACGGGCATAATTATTTGCTGCATCCTTACGACCAGTTACCATCTGAAATAAATCCTTATGTTTTCCCGTACGAACCACATTTAATAATATTAACAGATTTAAGAATCAATTTATCATTATATCTGCTAAATCAATATACTTAATTAATACATTCATTCTTATTTAAATAATTAAAAAATAAAATAAAGATTTATGAGAAAAAAATTTAATTTCATTAAAATTAAAATTCTAAATTTTTAATTACCGACAACAGTTGGCTCTAAGCCAGCCAGTAAAGTACGGAGCACGTAACATGTATAATCACATGTCACAACGCTCACACGCTGTATCTCTATGAAACATACAATCTCACTGAACTATTTTTGAATTTAACGATTATGATAGCAATTCAAATGTTTCGCATCATATAGGAGCAAAGCCAAGAAATAAGCTCATCGGAAGGTTAAGGGTTAAGTGATTAAGCTAAGTTAAATAAAAATTAATACGATCTGAAATCAAACATAAAATTAAAATTCATTCTCCAATCAGAAATTTGAAATTCGTATATGATACGAATATTTCAATACAAAAATTGAAAATTTAATTTATTTACAAATGCATTCGTTTTTTTTTTCCTTTTGGCAAACCCTAAATAGTTATAAGTTACCACCTAGAAAATCATAGCAGTGAATTAGCATTGAAAATAAGAAAGAATTTATACGTAGACAACGATCGGCTAACGGAACAAAAGAGGCTTTATATAAATATGAAAGAACGAAAGAAATTTTTGGAGAAGCATCAATGAGCATAAGAGAATTTCTTTTAAACGACGAAGAATTTAATGAAAGAATACCTGAATGTGACTTGAGCCAAACAAAGCAGGAAAATTTTCTCGTCTTAGATGGAACCATTTGTCGCCACAATGGCGAAGCTATAACCTAATGAATAAAGGCTGTTGTTTTAAGTGATTTTAATCCACTTTGTAACCTTAACATCCATAAAATCCCTCCCGATTTTCTTCCTTACAAAGCCATTCATTGTGTATAGCTTCTTGTTTTGTATAGTCCGGTTGTGAGGTGTCTAGCATGTTTATATCATTAAATGGTTTTTAATTAAGTTACATTTGTGTGTTATATATCAATTCATTATTGTAGTGTTGTATAAATTTTAATGTTAATCTGTGAATTATCCGACTTCTACCAGTATCAAGGAGAAAGAAGTCAACGATCTCAATAAAGGAAACCTACTTTGTTTTACAAGGAAACAGGACAGTAAGAAAGAAATTCTAAATTTGCTTTTACAGCTTTTCATTTTTACGTAAGCTTAAATTGATGAAATTTTTATTTCAAATTCTTAACTGAATTAAGCTATTAGTTTTATATCAAAGCGTCAATTTTCATTAAATCATTTACGTTATTTTGATAAATAAATGAATAATTTGATGTAAAATGTAAACACTGACAACAAAATACTCTTTAAATTAGTAAAAAAAGAAAACAAAAAAATCAAAACAAATGTGTTGTTGACAATCGGTTTAATCAAAAAAATAAATCAAGTACTTCTTTTCATAGAAATTTTTGTATAAAAAAATTGTTAATTATAATTAAATTAAAGAGAAATCAATATAAAAACAAATAATTGAATATAGCAATAATCTATTGAGTTAAGTTTTAAGTAGGTAAAATAAATGATCAGAACAAAATAAATCGAATGAAAGATGAAAAAATGTTCATTTAAAAAAGATTTAGAAAAGCATTTAAAAATATTTACGTATGTGGAATGAATCTAAGCTTGGATTCGTTCTTTTTGGAAAACCAAAAATTATCAAGTTCTTTCCGAAATGCTACATAAGCTTTCTCTTTTTCAGGTGAACTTTTGAAATTGATATACCAATATACCAATGTTACTGTTATCACTTTTGCTCTACCTATTTCACGTTTTCGACCTGTCACATTTACACTATAAATCACCTAAAATACATTTGAAATTTTTTGTAGAGTTAAAAATTTAGATAAATATGGTGATTTATTAAATGACTCAACTGACCAATATCCTTAGGTCGATTAAATAAATACATATCCAGATATGATAGCGTAAATTTAGATTTGAATTAGCTTTCCCGTTATGGAAAAGTATTTCTGCATGCTTTAGCCAAAATATTCAATTCATTTGAACATTTCTAAATTGTTATAAAATAATATTTTATTCCATTTTTTTTTGCCATTCATCTATTATCTAAAGTTAAAAGAAATCCTAATGCAAATAATTATAATTGATAAAACAAAAACAAAAAAAAAAATTTTTTTTTATTAAGTATATAACTTGCTTCTTCGTTATAATTTTTCTTGCAAAAATCCTCAAATCGATAAATTTTGAACAGTGGTATAACGATATATCATACATAACTTACGTGATTCGAGCAAATCGATTTCTCTTCATGTAATGCATAAAACATCAATGCGAATAGTATCTGCAAAAGTTGTGACAATTTGATGTTAAATGTGTGATGGTTATGAATATAATAAATACAAATAACAAAAAATAAAATGCAAAAAAAAAAAGAAAAGCACTTTTCAATTATGTAAATATCAATCATATTAAAGCATATAATTTTAAAAAATGTTTAAGTGATAAAAAACTTCGATAAAAGTAATCTGAATTGGCTGCCAAATATTCGTAAAATTTTGCGTTGTATTATAATTTATCGAGAAAATATCTCCTAGCAATGCTTTTTAAATTTTCCATTAGTTTTTTCTTTCGCCTAAAATTAATAAATAAAAACAGTGTTTACATTTTAACAATTGGATATCAGAAATTGTTGCTATTGGTGAGTTAAGCTATTTGATTAGATGTAACTTATCGAAAAAGTAACACCACTGTAATGATAAAAAGTGGAATGATGAATAAATACAACAAGAAACATAGCCTTGATCGACTTCTTGGAGTGTTCAGTTTATAATATAACATAAAGATAGAATTGTTAATGAGTAATTTTAATTATGAAAAATTAGAAGTATAAACAAGAAGATCATATGCAAGCAATGAGGAGAAGAAAGAAATATAATTAAAGTTAAAAAGCGCATTTGAAAATTGAAAATTTCATTTCCTTAGTTTCATTCAGGTCATGTTCTTCATGCGTCATTTTTTGACTTTTTATAAAACGTTTCGTTATCAATAGTTTATTTTGAAATGTAAACTTAAAATGACTAAATTATAAGCTTAACAGTTTTGTTTATTTTCAGGCTAAATTTTCTTTCAAATATGCAAATTTTGCATAATGAAAATTTGAAACAGTATAAAAAGAAGACATTTCAGTCTTCAATTCATTATCAAATTTAATTCACATTGATCGGTTGTTTTTCATCAAATTCGTTTGATAAGAATGTGATAATTCAAACATGATGAAATTTAGCAAAGATCTTAAAACAGTAAATTTCAATTTTAAATTACTTTTAATTAAGGCTCTCTCTACTTTTGCTATCTTAATATTTTGAATGATAAGATATGATTGCATATGCTATCGCATTTCCTTCAATGATTATCGATAAAATTTAAGAATTCAATGATTTTGAAGAATTCTTGAATTATTTATTATAATACAGAATCTCAAATTTGATCTAAGCAGCATTTATCAATAGAATATTTTTCCCAGTCAAAAAAGAAAAAACAATTTTTTTTTTTTTTTTAAATGTTTTTCCGCTTATAGAATTACCAGCAATAGAATCTTTTGGCCAAACGATAAATGTAAATTTATGGAACGTGGCAAAGTGCTAGCTAAAATTAGTAGTAATAAAATTTGTTGTTTACAAAGTCAGCCTATATGATTGGATGTCATTTATGCTATGCTATTCGAACAAGCGATGATATTCTCATTATTTATTATAACTCCTAAAAAGGGTAATGAAGGATGGATTTGACAATCTGATAAAATCATCATTTAGAGAATAATAATGATAGAATTATGAATAATTACTACTGATAAAACATAGTATATTTTTTTTTAAGTGATAAATTTTATATATTTTTTTGATAAAACACGTTGTATATATTTTGTTGTATATATCACTGATAAAAAATATTGTACATTTTTTGAAAGTGATGATAAATTGCTGATAAAACATGATATTTGTTGAATAATCTGTAATAAAATAAGAACAATAAATGAAAACTTAGCTTCTTTGAAACTTAATTTAAATTAACTTCTATGCATGAATTTAAGTAGTTTCCAGAACAAATCGATTAAGAAGACATTCGTCGGATTGTAGTGCTGAGGATAAAAGTAGGATTATTGTTGTATTTGTTTTATTCATGAGAAATCAATTTTATTGCAGCCTTGTAATCACATTTGTGTGTGTGCTGATTGCGTCGAAGAATTGTTAGAAATCTATGAGGAGCCGTTATGTTCATTATGTCGTTCCATCATTTCATCCTATGTTGATGTCTATATTTAGTGTATAAATATAGATACGGGATAGGATTAGAATTACTTTCGGGGAAATGCAAGTATTATTTAAGGAATCAAATTAGGCAGAGAACAAAAATGTAAATTATGCAAATGGTCAGTTTTGTCGCAAGCAATGATTGCTCAAACTCAAATCTTTGAACAAACTCGTATGTTTGATAACACATCAGTCGCTATTTCCGATGTGAGGAGTTATATACTTTGTAACATCAGAGATTTTTTTTTTTTTTTTCTCATCTGTTGTTTTGAGTTTGATTTCTAAAATTGTTCAGTTGTGGTTAAATGTCTATTTGTATTGATACTATTGCATTATTACATTGTTTCATTGCAAAAACATTTATTGATGCTGTTGTCTGAACAAACCTTTTTAGTGAATTAGAATTAAGAAATGTCGTGAAATGCGTAAATAATTTTAAGTGATATTTGTAAGTATAAATCAGGAATGTTTATATGTTTAGTATTGAGAACTTATGTCCATCATTAAATACGCCGTGATTGAGAGTATACTGCATTATATCATGTTTTATTGCGTTTTGCATGAAGTTTTATTGCGTTTTGCATGAAGTATTAGCAAGAAAACATTTACCGTTCTTGCTTTTGAATTTATTGCGCAAATTTGATTAGAGAATTTAGAATTTATTAATTGTATTGTAAAGCATGCAAAATACAGTCTTGACGGATGGTTTTACTCAGTTATTCCTTTCAACAATAGAAACACATTTTCATTTTATCGAGAAGAATATTATGAAGCTTTTAAAAGAGTTCCTCAATTTTTATTCAATTTAAAATATTGATTGATATGAAAAGAGTGTATCAAAATAAAAATCAGAATCGCTCCTTCACACAATGCTTTCTGGTAATTTTGCCAAATTTTGTAGATCGTTAATCTCATCAGAGCTATAACTTTTTTCATCTATTTGCGTTGCATTCACTGCTAAAGTATTGTTTTCTCTCTGAAAAGTAGTTTTCAGTGTTGAGTAGAGGAATTTAATTCCTTGAAGATTGAGAATCGTAGCGAATGCAAGATTATAACTGCATAACAACTACTAATTCATAAAGCAGATCAAGTGTTGCTAATTCATAGAGCAGATCAAATGCAGTGGATGAATTAGTGTAGTGTTGAATTGGTAGTTGTGTAATTGCCAGAATAAAATATATTATTAGAAGTGATTAGAGCAAAGTTTAAAATGATTGATAAATGAAATCGAAAAAATGTTGAAAAATAAACTGTGAAACTTCAAATATTAAATTCGTTTAAGTCTTTTCATTATTACCTTTGAATTATCATTTTCCACTAAGCTATATTGATTATTGCTGGCACCAGTTTCATCGAGTTATGTTGTGTCATTGTGTTGTTTGAGTATTTCGTATTGTCGCGATTAATTAAGCTTAGCAAACGATGACAGTTACAGAATTGCTTCTTGTGAGAAGATACAGGAAGGATTCTATAAGAATTTTTTTTTGCAAGCCGTAATATTGTATCGATGAAAGACATTTCCTTTAAAAAATGATTCTACAAATAAATGAAAATAATTTTGAGTTATTTCAAAATACTGAAGCAGTCTTTCCCATTTCTGAAATAAGTAGAATTGATCCGATGCGTTCGAAATTTTCGGATGATTCCGATGAATGAGAAAGCAAATCATATTTCCCATTCGAACTCAATATTGAATCCATCGTGTCCCGCTCTGAAATTTTTTTTTTTTTTTTTTTTAATTTAAGAGGCTTTAAGATAAGAGTGTGGAAAAAAGCTATTCTTAATTAAAATAAAAAAAAGCTATACATTGATTTAAAGAAAAAAGCTATCCTTGATTTAAATCACTTATAATTATTTACGGATTTCACGACATTTCTTAATTCTAATTCACTAAAAAGGTTTGTTCAGACAACAGCATCAATAAATGTTTTTGCAATGAAACAATGTAATAATGCAATAGTATCAATACAAATAGACATTTAACCACAACTGAACAATTTTAGAAATCAAACTCAAAACAACAGATGAGAAAAAAAAAAAAAAAAAAAATCTCTGATGTTACAAAGTATATAACTCCTCACATCGGAAATAGCGACTGATGTGTTATCAAACATACGAGTTTGTTCAAAGATTTGAGTTTGAGCAATCATTGCTTGCGACAAAACTGACCATTTGCATAATTTACATTTTTGTTCTCTGCCTAATTTGATTCCTTAAATAATACTTGCATTTCCCCGAAAGTAATTCTAATCCTATCCCGTATCTATATTTATACACTAAATATAGACATCAACATAGGATGAAATGATGGAACGACATAATGAACATAACGGCTCCTCATAGATTTCTAACAATTCTTCAACGCAATCAGCACACACACAAATGTGATTACAAGGCTGCAATGAATTGATTTCTCATGAATAAAACAAATACAACAAGTAATCCGACATATATCGTCAGCACCACAATTCGAAAAATGTTTCCTTAATCGATTTGATCTGGAAATTGGAATCATCCTTATTAAATTCATGCATAGATCGCATAAAAAACTCACCGGCAAAAAAAAGTAAATTTAGCACACTGACAATTAATGGATACAAATAGAGAAAAGTAATGTGCGTTAGGCGTCGACAATTCCTGGCAATGAATTGTATGGAAGCATTGCCAAGTTGCACAATGGAGATTTGCTTAATAACAATGATAAACGCAGTACAAATAAGGATCGAAATTAAGGAAATCATTATCAGCATGAGTGGATGGCAGATTAACAAATTTAGCAAAGCGCGAAATGGCCAAACTATTAAACAAATGACTTCATCAATGAGAAGATGAAAGATTGAATACAGTAAAATAAGCAAAAAGGAAAAAAATTTGCTAACACTTCCAAAGGTGACCCGATATTATTAATCGTTTCCAGTAATCGTAAGATGACATTTGTAAAGAATGATATAATTTCATTGCATATGCTGGCGTATTAATCTAACAAATCTGCGAATGGCCCTAAATCTGCCAGAAGTGCTTCCTATAAGATAATTCCAAAATGACCGACTCCAAACTGTTGGGTCATAGTTAACCGCAGAGAGCTGGAAATTCGAAGGAACGATTATTCTGAATAAATTTTCTGCAACTTTTGAATATGAGACAGTAACCATCTACACAGCTGAAATTAAGTGATAGAAACAGCATCACTTCAAATAAAAAGAAGTATAAAATAGATTCTTATAAAACTTACAATGCTCAAGCGTGAAACTTTGTGACCTGAACTAGCAAATATAAAAAAAAACTGCAAAGTCGTAATTACTTTTCCAATACTAGCTCCTTGTACGATTCTAACATCACCGAAACGGGCTTCTGAGAACTCTCGCGAACCTTTCAAAGCTTCAATCTCAAACATTATATCGAAAAGGAATTCATCTCAAAGAAAAAGATGACATCCCCAAATACAAATTATTATCTAAAAAAGAATTAAACGATGACAATCAAATCAGCAACCCGATTTGCAAACTAAGAATTTTTATTATATTTTAATATTAATAATAAGATAATAATAAGACCAAATCTTTCACAAGTTAGAAAGACAAATACCATATCATAAATATCAATGCTTAATCCCGAAATGTTACCTCACTGAATACACACCGGAAGGAATCCGTATCGACAGATCTTGCTTAGCAGTAGCAGCAACAACAACAATAACGCAAATGTTCTGTTGTTGTAGCACAGGTGATGGTGTGGAACGTAATGAAAACAAATCCCACGCTATTCGAACAACAATAGGAGAAGTTCTATGGTGTAATCAATCAGTTAGAATAGAGGGAAGAATAAAGTGATAAGCTGGAGAACTTGTGGAAGATAAATAAATTCGCATGGTTTTGAATGTATTCGTAGTGCTGTACCGATGACACTACAACATCATTCCTGTATATCACATTGACTAGTAATAAGCTAAATAAGCACTAACCAAAGTTTATAATTCTCTTTGAATTCTTAATTGTTTGAGTCTCGCAACTCACTCACATTTCCCAAAATTTAAACAGTATAAGCAAAAACTTCACATTAAATATTAACTTTTATGAAGCTGTCAATTTCTGAAAAATAACTGAGTGTATGGAGGAAATACAACTGCCAATAATTCTATAAGAGAAGAAAAAGTGCATGCATTAAGTCAAGTTTTTTTTTTTTTTTTTTTTTAGAGCAAAAAATAAGTGTAAAAAGTGAAAGAAACAAGCTTTAAATATAAACGGAAAATTCTTTTATATATTGGAACAGAAAGTGGCAAGCATATAGCCTCCTGAATAAATTCACTACTTTTTACAAATTAAATGGGCAGCAAATTAATAACAGTAAAAAAAAACGTCCTACTGGGACAATATTTGATGAACATGAATATTTCATTGTGCTCTTTAGAAGAAAACGCAACTGGAATAGCTTAGTGTCTCTTATGTACCAGAGCGCTTGAGAAAGTGAGGAGGATACAAATGAGTTCATAAAACGTAAATGAGTGCGACAATAGACAAATCCTTTAAAGCATGCTTAAATCATACTCTTTTAGCGGTCTATGAACATATATTAGAACATATGAAAAATGGATATAAACAAGTTATAATAACGCATCATTAGACCGACAAAAACATTTCGAAATATTAAAAAACTGACCAGGTATTCCAGTGCAGCAAAGACAAATTCATTAGGCTTGAAATTTCAATAATTTTAAAAACCAGCTTCTAATGAATATGCAGACAACTAAACTAACAAAAATATCTTACAAGTATGACTTGACTTATGTAACACAAAACTCCGAAATTTTGACGGTTTCTGGGAATGAACTTCATAAAATATGATATAGAATACTGCATACGGTTTATGACCTAGTTGTCTCAACTACTACTGCATTTCCTTTATTGCAGACATCAAAGTAGTCAAATTCTGAATTATAACTGAAATTCCGAGTGAATATTGCTCCAAATGAGCAATCTAGTTAACAGAACACGTAATATTGGAAATATATACAAAAGATGAACAGAGATTGACATAATTAAAAAAGAAAGAAAAATAAAATACTTTGTAACTACATCTGCTAATAGGGAGGAACTTTCCACATCTATAGCATTATAGAAACAGCCCCATTATATAAGAAGTTTTTTTCAAGACTAATTTTCTTCCACAAATAATGAAATACAAAAATTATGAGTAAATAACTGGGTTTAATGCCTCTCTTAGAACTATAGAAAATGTTCAACAGTAAATCGTGATGAGAGTATGTTCCTGGATATAAATTGCACTTTTAGAAGTTTCAAATAAAAATTTCATTTGGAAATGGAGAAGGATCTTAGTTTTTAGATTTTGGATATTTTAAAACTGCAATCAAAATGGCAAACTTCTCAACTTTTCACAAGAATATTTTTAGGTGTTAAGGTGTACAGAATGTAGCTAAATGACAACAAAAGAAAGATAAACAAAACAGCAGAACTTTGAAACTGTTCAATATAAACTCAGCAATGATCATACTATTGTAATTTATCGCTTATTCGTTGAACAAAATGATGCACGCAGATCGGGCCCGGTAATGGCCATTCCCATTCGTTTTGTAATAAACCATCAGGTACATCATTTTCGAACCAATAACATAACCAAAACCACCATAAATGAGAAAGAGGCGCCTTACTCCTTTCAATTCTAAAAAATATAGAATGTAAAAAACATAAAGCTTCCGCACTGTACTCCCAAAAAACAGTTCAAAGCTCATATGTACAATGAACGATGCAGTGATATCATAAAAATCGAAAATAAAGTAAAAAATTTTTGTCAGTCAGTTCCAGCAGATGTATTTACTTTCAAATATTACTAAATTGGAAACAAAATAGAAAAATCTTTTAGGTTTTTGCAAAAACAAACCTTGGCATTGCAAAAACTTGATGATAAGCATAAAAGATATGACTGGTAAGCCAGTAAGCTACAAGTACATCCATTGTATAATGACCACCCGAAATGACAAGTGCTGCTATTCCAATGTATGTTAACGGTGCTGCGATATACCTAAAAACCTTCGTCATAAATTATCAACTTTACAGTATATTTCAAAGTTGTGTCGGTACTACTACTGCCGTTTTTTCTTAACAATTCAAAATACTAACCGCAAATAGACCAATCTTCTTGGTGTATACTGAAGTAAGGTAAAGTACATAATCGTTAACACAACGGTGTGACCGCTGAACATGAGATCACCACAGAGAATTTTATCCTGACCCGAAGTTAAACCTAACGTTACAACGTATGTTACGAATCTGAAATTTACAACAGAATGGAAAAACAAATGATTTATGATGCACATCGCAGAATATAATAATACTATAACATCAGTTTTGATCTATTTATGATCATTCAAGACTAACAAGAGAATCAGTTTCCGCTGTGATGATTTATTATCAAGATACACCAAATGCAGAACATATTTGAACAATGTTACATTTTGGAATTCCCAAACTTAAAATTGAATTTCATGAAGAAAAAATAGTGGATTTGAAATTTTGAATTAAAAAAAATTTCATTTCTCTGATGTTGTAAATTGAGATAAATCTATTTTTCTCTGATGCTTAAAAATTTAACGCCATAGCATGACATCATAACAAATTTATCTTTAATAGTGAAATCATATCGGATAATATAAAGTTAAAGTGAATGAGGAACTGCTACCTTGTTGTTATTTCTGTAGCATACATCGCAGTTCTATTAACCTGCGGTAAGCATATTTCATCGCGGTTTTGAAATGATGGCGGTAAAAATGTTAATCCAAGAACTACTGCCCGCAACCCATACATAATCCCTCCAAGTAACAACACACGACGAAATACTATTAACCGCTTCTTATGTAGCAGGACACACGTGAAACCAAGTACAGCACTGGAAAAACAAAATGTTAGAGTATTAAAATGAATTTTAAAAGCATAACAAGTTAAAAAAAAATAGGCTTGACTACCGTAAACTGTTATATGACAAATGGCTAGCTTGCAAAAGTTTGTTCTGTCAAACTTAACACCTAAACGTACAGAATCTCTTTAAAGCTTGTGAAATATTTTAAATTTTCATATTATTTTTATCCAAATATATGATCTTGTTCTTTATTAATAGATAGAATTAAACAGAAAACTAACTTCAAAGTAGAAAATATGTCTCCGACAACCCAAGCCCACCTCTGCTGTGGTATCAGCATAAAAACGAGGTCTGGCAAGGGTTCCCTCGGTACTATATCGTGAATCACAGTGAGCAGGAAAAAATTAAGGAATGCCGATATCAATAAACAAACAAATGCAGCAAACGTTTTCAGTGCTTCCTTTTGCCATGTCTGAAAAAAAATTCTGTTTCTGAATCTTAGAAGTACTTATAAACTAAAGATTCTGATACTCTTAAAAATTTAATATATTGCGACTCTTTGTCAACCTCAGTAAACCTCACAAATATGCTGAAGAAAGTTTTTCTACCATGCATTGAGGAGATATTAAAAATTGGCCTGCTTTCTATCCATTCTGATAAAGTGATTAAATACTTTATTTTCTGTTGTACAAACTTAGTATTCTTATCTTATGAAAAGATTATATACATAGTAGCCGTTGCTATTAAAACACAAAAGAAAACTAATTCAGGAATGTTAAACATTAAAATGCAACCATACTTTTATCCCAGAAACAAGAAGAAAAAGGCAAGAAGAAAGAACACATCAACTAAAACAAATTTTACTACTAAAAAGTATCACTTGTAATAAATTTAACTGATTTAGTAACAAATAGTGGAAGAAGAAATATCAATTATTGTTGACTGCTGAATTAATTGGTGGACCCAATTTTGTTTTTAATTCAAAGTTCAAAAAATAGAATATGAAATATTTCATACAGGAAGAGAAAAAGCAAAACCGTGTCACTACGTAATAAGGAGAGATAAGGAAGTAAGACAGTACAACACGTCAAGTGGAAAATAGAATTACTATGGTAATTTCTGAATATCGCCAACAGGCAATTAAATAAGCACTTGTGAGTGCTTTAAAAGAGAGAAAGAAATAATAAACGATACAAACGAAAATATTTGGGAATCGATCGACAAAATGAATTCTAAAACAGGAGAAACTTATAAACATTGAAGAACTTGCCAGGAGGATTTGTGCCGAATGTTGCTGCTTACGCATAGCAGTAATCATCATGGTATCACACCACCCGCGATAAGTTCTTTTTTCAATAATCTGTGATAAAAAAAATCAGTAGCATCAAGATTACAAAATAATAAGTTGATCCTCATTTAAAGTAACAATTCAGTTGAGTTAAAAGTTAACCCAGGAAATTTTTTAAAGCATTGAATAAAAATTATTCGCATACCTAGACTGAAGAGAGCTGCTAATGTGAAGAC